GCTGAGAGAGCACTGCTGGTTTCGGCTCTGGCCAAAAAGTGATGGATCCTCGCTCGTGGGCCATTTTCAAGGCCAGCATCTTGGCCCGGGCTGGCACCATCTCGGGATTCATACCCCAGAACCGGAACGAAGGCTGCGGCCCCTCCTGGGCGACGGCATGCCGTCCTTCGAAGATCTTCGAAGCCAGTTGGCATGACGATGATTTCCAGGCATCCGGCCGAGATGTGCGAGCACATGGAATGCGACGGCAAACAACGCCATCACACCTGTGCAAGATCTGCTGAGCGTAGCAAAACACACTATATGGGTAGTTGTCGAAATTATGGTCCCATTTGGGGTACCCTAAATAATAGGTGCCGTGTTATAAAAAGGACCCAAAAAAGGACCATAATTTTGACAACCACCCATATATAGCGGGCCTGACGCGTAGGGAACATGAACCAAAACTGCACCCCAGCGTGCTCGGCACAGCTGAAGACTGATATGCCACTGAGGCGAGCACGGGACTCCATCCCGGGAACTCTGCCATGCTGGGCTTGGAAGATTTGGAAAATCTATTTACCAAAAAAAAGGAAACGGAGATAAGTCACAAGCTTGACGGGCACAAGCAAGACCTCCAACAAATCCACAAGACATTTGACAGGAATTGATTCAGTTTAGTTGTCCGATTGCGATCAAGCAACGGCGTGGCAACTAAGCTGCGGGTGGACGGCCAGAACCCTGGAGTTTGCTTTGCTCTTGGTCAGACCGCAGTCTGCAATTTGTACTGTCTAGCCAACAAGTATCAAAGCCTTCTCCGGGCCAAAAACCGTCGAAAAGCAGCAACCAGGTTTGTGGAAAGTTCTGCATGGTGAAACATACAGAGATCGAAATCCAAGGTGCAATACATCCAGAATACTACGTCCTGCTGGGACAAGCGTGCAGGTCAACTGACCACCCCGCAGAAGTCGTGGATTTTGGCAGGACGGCGGGAAGCAGAGCGAGCATGGGAAACTGAGGTGGACACGGCCTTCACAGCACTGCAGGCATAATTCCACATTCGGCGTGGGCCGGACGATGCATTCGTCATTGTCAACGCGGATCCAGCCTGACAAGCTCTTCCTAGGCGACCTAGCAACGAAATGTATATTGTAGTATGTGGCACCTGTATCGGACCCGAATTCCCCCATTATGCCTAATTACATGGTCTGGTTGGGGCAAACCCGATAGCAATCTCGCTGTTGGGCTGCTATTGAATCCAGTCGCGCGTCTTAACGGCCACCAAGGTTCTTGAAAACACAATGGATACTGCTTAACTGTTGCGCACGTCTGCATTTACCTACACGCACTTGCCAAATCATGCAACTTCTTGATCTGGGGTGGGGTGGGGTTTGGTGAAGGCATCCATTTAAATGGATGACATGGTGTCTTTGCTGCTGCAAGAGAGGCCTTGGCTAGAAGCGCCTGTGGCTTGGGAGTCGAAGTCGGAGTTGGAGTAGCGATGTCGGTGTCCGCTTCCGGTGCCTCTGGGTGGAGCGAAGAGCTCAGATCCTTGGATCTCGAAAACGTCGAAGTCGATGTCGAGGCTCTTAACTTTATTGTTATTACTATCACTATCACTATCACTATCACTATTTCTATTACTATTACCATGATTAGAGTCATTATTATTCTTATTATTGTTATTACGGCATGTATCTTTCTCCCTCTCTCTGCCGTGCCATCCGCAAGGGTCTCGCTATGCAAGGGCACGTAACAGCAGGCCAGACAATCAAGAGGCATGGCACAAACGAAGGACCCCTCCGTCACTCGTCGAGCCCACCCAACCGGGCAAAAACTGGCCTCAACAACTACGCTTTGAGCTGCGAGGCCCTCAACAACACAAGGACAGGCAGCTTTACACACAGGCCTCGCTCACCCCTGCATTCAGGATTGTTCTGATGGCCTCAATCAATAAGGTGCGAGTACCTAGGGCAACGTGGGGTCCAGATTAAGTCAGTGGAGGCACCCGGTCGGCAAAGTGGATCCACTCATGCATCATGGCGTCTTCGGCATGAGTGGGAAGTCACATGCAAGCTGTCAGCTGGTGACATGGATGCTGCAGAAGTCCAGCTCCGACCGTTGCAACGGTCGGAGCTGGACTTCTGCAGCATCCATGTCACCAGCTGACAGCTTGCATGTGACTTCCCGGATAGTAATCCACCAGGTTCAGATGGGAGCTGGCGATTGATGGTTGCAAACATCGTTTCGGCCTTTGACTCCTCCAAGAAGGGATGGCAGCCTGTGAGCAAAAGGAACATCACCACACCCGCGGAGAAGACATCTGCCTTCCGTCCGCCGACAGCTCGCACGTGAACTTCAGGAGCAATGAATCCGTAGGTGCCACATGTCCATGGAATCCAGTCTGACCCCTTGGGCAACTCTGCAGAAAGCTCGAGGTCACACAGGACGACTCGGGATCCGCCAAAGGCGATCATGATGTTTGTATCCTTCACATCCCGATGAACAATAGAGAGCTCATGCATGTGAGCCAAGCCTCGAAGCAGAGAAGACATGACAAAAGCCGCCTGCCCCTCAGAAACTGATCGGATCTTGCACAGCTGCTGCAACGTGCGCTCGCATCTTTCCTCAAGGATGAAGTGTAGGGTTCGCACGGCTTCCATCTCAGAGACCTCTGGCTCTGGCTCGGGAAAAACCTGTGAACTGGTTCTGGCCTTCCGGGCCGGCCGCTGCTTCATGCACCGAAAATGCCCATGTTGGCATGCATCAACCACGCAAGTGTAGCTGCCAAACATCTTCACGATGCAGTCTCCAGCCACGGCTTTGAGCATCTTCGCCTCGTGCGCAGCAAGCTGTGGATCTGCATCGAAGAACTTGCCAGCGAAGAGGCCTCCACCAGGTAAAGCGACGGAGCGCACCACACAAGAAGAACCCTTTCCGAGGACCTTCCCCACGCTTATCGAGATTTCATTCTCTCCATCGGCAGGCTTGGCTGTCGTCTCGATAACCCCGTCCGTGGCATTCATGGCTAATTTGGCGCGGAATCTATGGAAAATGGACTGGGGCAGTAAAACGAGCCGTTCATGGCATAGCAATGGCGCACAGATCCAAGTGCTTCAACTTGATTGTCAGCCAGGCGAAGTAGACTCAGAGACATGACGGGTTCTGAGTCTGCTTATATTGAG